CTTTGTTTATTTTTAAATGCAACTTTATTAAATTTCAAGAAAAATTAAAGTACAGAATAACTACAAAATAGGGGGAGAGGAAATCTCAAAGGGGAAAAGGTTGAAAGGTGAAGCAAAAAAAGAGAGGGAGGGAGGGAAGAAAAAGCTGGGAATTCTGGGAGTTGAAGTCCGCGCTTATTAAAATTGCCTAGGTTGGGAAGCACTGCCTTAGGGTAAGCCACGGATAGATATTGGTTGGGTTAAGTACGTTGTCTGAATCCAGCCACTATTGTTTGCAAGCCATTGTGGTTAACCATGGCTGAGCACAATATACCTACTGTAGCTATGGTTGAGACAGGGAATTTGGGGCTTCGAATAACAATTTAACCCAAAGGAGCTTCTCCAAAAGGCAACTGGACTTTCCTGGTTTTTTTCTTTAAAAATGTTTCGCTTCTCATCCAAGAAGCTTCTTCAGCACTTCAGCTTTTTGAATGAGAAATTAAATGTTTCCTTTTTTTAAAAAAGTTTTTTTTATTTTTTTGACACACAGACACACACACATACAATGTATTTTTTCTGAACAGAGTATTGACCGGTTCACAAATTTAAACAATTTTTAGTCATTTCAACACAATTTATATATTCCCTTTTTCTCATAGTGTTTATTCTATTTTTTTTTTTTTGTAAATCAATATTACCCATTCATCCTAACTCTAATCTTAACCAAATTCCATTTTCCCCTTCATCTCTATATTAAACCCCTTAAATTTGAAATCTCATTTAACATAATTCCTAATATTACAATCATTCGTTCTATATCAAAATAATAAACCAAAATTAAATGTTTTCAAAGGAAAAAAAAAAACCCAAGGAAGTCCAAGTTGCCTTTTGGAAAAGCAATCTTTGGGAAAACCACGACCTGGATGATTGAGAATCTCCACAATCACAATTTAAGTTCTTGTGATGTACGTTTGGAGAGGAGGGCAGGTGAAACAGTCACAAGGTTTTGCAAAGAAATCATTTCCAAGAAAAATCCGCAATTTTTGCCGTTGAAAGTGGGTCTCTTGTTTCAAGAGAAATAAAGAACATTTACCTGGATGCCCCCATCGTTCAACCGACTGGCGTATGCTGTTTCCCGTAAGCCAGGCATTAAGGCCGTAATGTTTGAAAATTATCTAATTTGGGCCCAGACAATTGAATTTATCCCATAATCTGTTCCTCTGTATTTATGTCTCAGGAAACAACGGCAACAAAAAATAAACAAAATAACGTTAGAAATCCCAAACTGGCTCTATGCTACATTATTTCCATTGCTGCCAAATGAAAAAACAAAAAAAGACAGAATGAGATTCAGGATTGAGTTTTTACTTACTGTTATAAAAACAGGTGGTTGTCGCTGTTATTAAAATATATTAAACGGACCGACGGATGGACAGACAGATATGGATGATATATATCAGCGGTCACCAACTGGTGGTCCGTGAGAAAATTTTGGTGGTCCGCAGAAAAATTATTTGCATTTTTTACATTGCACTAAATCAGAGGTTTTCAATCTACAGCCCCCTGGGACAGATACGTGCAATGAATGTTTGTGTTGCTGCAGAGAGTCTCCCCCTTCGGGGTCTTTTTGTGTGGGTCAGAGGGGGGCAGAAATTCCGATTTGGGGTCTGCTTCAGCCTCCTGGTGTGGGGCTTTGGGCGAAGGCTGGAGGGAAGCGCCATGGGTGGCAAAGAGCCGGAGGGCCTCGTTCCAGTGGGACTGCCTCATGGCCTGGAACTGGCTGACCATCTCAGCCCACTGAGCCTCCAGACGCCGGGACCTGGCCTTGCACTCCTGCAGGTCTTCCCTCTGCTTGGAAAGCCCATGCTCCTAGTCCTCAGTGAGGTGCTTCTGCTGAGCCTCCTTCTCGGCCAGATCCAATTTGAACTGAGCTGTTTTGCCAACTCTTTCTCCTGGTGGCTGCTTAGCTCCAACAACTGCTTCCTGTTGGGGCCCTAAGGAGCCCAGGCAGGCAGGGGAGACGTGGCTGGGAGGGGAGGGGTGAGTAGAGGCTGGCAAGGCGCCCTTTGACGTGAGTGACATCGAGTTGGCCATGCCCATCCAGTCACATGACCACCTAGCCACGCCCACCCAGCTGGTCATTAGGCAGATCATATTAGTGGTCCGCGGGATTTAAAATTATGAATTGAGTGGTCCCTGAGGTCCAAAAGGTTGGTGATCCCTTATATATATATATATATGATCCGATAGATAGGTAGATAGATAGATAGGTAGATAGATAGAGATAGATAGATAGATAGATAGATAGATAGAGATAGATAGATAGATAGATAGATAGATAGATAGATAGATAGAGATAGATAGATAGATAGATAGATAGATAGATAGATACCTGGCTGGAGGAAGGCGGAGTGGTGCCAGACCGCACCATTGATTGGACTATGTGGCTGTTTTCAGAAAGTAGAAAATCTTCTACTTTTAATTAGGTGAAAACTGTGGGAGTCTTCAGAGTCAGTTTTCACCAGGCATGTGTCAATATTTTTTTTTTTTAATTTGATTTATATGCCGCCCTTCTCCGAAGACTCAGGGCGGCTTACAATGTGCTCAGCAATAGCCTTCATCCTTTTGTATATTTATACAAAGTCAGCTTATTGCCCCCACAAACTGGGTCCTCATTTCACCTAAATATGAGATTTCCAATAAAAGTATTCTTTGAGGAATTTAATTGCCTTGGAGTCAGTGGTGGGATGCAACCGGTTCGGTGAGCACACGCTTCATGCAGCGTTTAAATTACAGCAATTTGAAGCTCAGCTGATTACCTTCTAAGGCAGCCCTGGTAAATATAACAGCGGAGGCACGGAAATCAGCTGTGCCGCGTGAATCAGCTGAGCCAGAAAGAAGGAAATAAAGGACAGGTTAGGGCGGGGCCATCTGATCGTCGGCGCTATTGGTTCGCCCAAACCGGTCTGAACTAGCTGAATACCACCTCTGCTCGGAGTATTGCTTGCCATGGATTTATTACTTGGAACCCTGACAGCTTGGGAAGCTGGGTGAAGCAAGCTGATGATGGGCTGCTTGGTAAACCTAGGTTAAGCCAAACTCGGCTTCGTGGGTCGTGTGAATGGAGCCCTCAGGCCCTGGCAACTCTTTTGAGAATTCCTTTTTCAAGGCATAGAAAAAAAACATCTGTTTCTACCCGTTTCATTACTACAGGGTTTTACCGTCTCTGTCTTAATATACGGCGCTCATGCCCGCTGCCGTCACAGGGGACAGCAAGCAAGGTTTTACACTTCAGTGTTTCAAACAGTTTTTATTTTAAGCCTCCCTTCCTACGCAGGTTTGCTTGGTGATGATGACTCTACAGCATGCTGTAGCTCCCTCTTCCCTTCCTCGAAACTCTCCGTGTTTAATCTTCTAAAAATACAAAATCAGGGAGCCGATGCGAAATATTTAAGGAGGTTTCCATCCAATGGGGTACGGGTTGGCCTTGTTTAGCGACCATTTGAGGTTACGACGGCACTGAAAAAACTGAATTTTGAGCGGTCCTCGTGCTTACAACCGTCATGGTCATAGGATCAAAATAGGGACACTGGCTTGTATATTATGTATGTGTTTGATTTCTGTAGCTGCCCTTCTCAGCAAATGGCTCTGGGTGGCCCGCCCTTCGAAAAATAAATTGCAACTAAAATCTTGAATCCGAGTAAGGGTATGGCTAGCTGATGAGAGCTAAAAAGCTTGAAATAGATCTATACTAGTCTCCCTTTATTTCTTTATCAGCAAAATATAAATTTGGTATAAAATGGTTTGTCGTGAATGCGACTGCTCAAGGGCTCCTGGATTGGAGCTGAAAGGCGAAAGGGAGCAAAATGCCCCCACCCACATGTTGGGGTAGACCAGGTGTCTCGATAGAAAAACACTTTATATATATATAATACATACATCATACACACACACACACACACACACACACACATATAGGTCTAATTTTTTGAGTTTCACCTGTATATATGTGTGTGTGTGTGTGTGTGTGTGTGTGTGTGTATGTATGATGTATGTATTATATATATATATAAAGTGAGTTGTAAGCCATAATCATCAAAATTATGACAAAGGCTTGAACTATCTCGCTTTGCATGTAATGAGGCTATCTCATATATTAGTTTCACCTTTTAAGTTGCATTACTGAAATAAATGAACTTTTGCACCATATTCTAATTTTTCGAGTTTCACCTGTATATATATATATATATATATATATATATATATATATATATATATATATATATTAAAAGAAGAAAAAGCAGTCAACAAGTTAATCTAACCGCCCACATCACTTCTGACAGGAGCCAGGTCCTTTAAAAATTGTCCCAAAGGCATCTGTTTATTCTGCAAGAGGGGATCACAGATCCACGTGCTGAAACAGTGCAGAATAAAACAAGGTTAGTAATAAATTTCACACCATCCTAGACCTAACAGCCTTTTGTCATTTATTGGCAGAGCAGGCTGTGAATTGCGTTAGGAATACAGTAGTGCAAAGATCACACTTCTATATGCATAGCTACCTGGTGGTAAATTCCATTAATCTCAGCGGGACTTATTTTTTTAGTAAACAGAATATTGGGTTGTATGTCTGCAATCTTTGGCAAAAAAAATAAAATAAATAAAAAATCTGGATGCTTGATAGAAAAAGAGAGTTGGAAGGGACCTTGGAGGTCTTCTAGTCCAACCCCCTGCTCAAGCAGGAGTTCCTATACCATTTCAGACAAATGGTTGTCCAATCTCTTTTTTAAAATCCCCCAGTGTTAAAGCACCCACCCAATTCATTCCACTGATTAATTGTTCTCACTGTTAATTGTTCAACCTCGCTCAGCTCCACTGAAGCAAAAACATCAGTTGGACAAAACTTAAGAATTTCAGCAGAGAGAGAAGGAAAAAAAACCATTGGTGCTTCTGAGTCCTAAATTAATTTCTGTGAAAACAAAGCTTAATTTAATTAGTGTTTATTTTCACGTAATTGGGATGTTAGAATGGAAAAGCGAATGTCTTAATTAGCACGTCTACTTGAAAGTTGAGTTCCCAGGTAAATATGTATTATGCTGTAGGCCTGGTTATTGTCTGAATTAATTGCCTATAATTTCGTTCAGGTGTGTAAAACCCGCAGTGCTGAGTTTCAGAAGATTCACAGGTTACATAGGGAGAGGTAGTCCTGATTTGCTTCCTGGCATTCACACAGCTATCCTAAAACAATCATCTTACAAAAAGAATTGAATAATAACAACTACTACTACTTTATTGTCATTGTACGTGTCTACACAGTATACCCATACAACGAAATTCACTTAACACCCAAAGAGCAGGTCCAACACACATATCAATCCCCAAACACCCCACCCACCCACCACAAATTCCCCACCCCTAAACCACCCAAACATCCACACAACAGACCAAGTAATGCTGTCCAACAGCTCACTGATGGTGGCCCTTTAGTTCATTGTTGAGTGCAATTATAGCTCTGGGATAAAAACTATTCAGAAAACGTGTGGTCCGAGTTTTAATTTTTCTGTATCTTCTGCCAGAAGGCAACAATCCAAAAAGATTGTAAGCAGGATGGGAAGAGTCTCTGAGAATGTTGTGCAACTTCCTCCAACAGCGAGATTCGAATAAGTTGTCCAGGGCTGGTAGCTGGAGCCCGATGATATTCTGGGCAGTTTTTATAGAATGTAGATCCCAGCAAATTGCACCAGAAATAATTCAAGGTCAGCTCTCTTAGATCAGGTAGAAAGCGTGAATCTCTTCTATGAATGTGACAGACAAATGATCTTCCCCAAAAATCCTTGCACTTCTGACACCCTCTCCTTCAACTACGATGTCCAGGGTCCCCCCCCCCCGCTTCCCCTCCAGAAATGCAGCATTTGATACAGGGAACTGAACAGGTCTAATAGTTTGGCCTTCTGCTGAAAGCTCCATTTATTTCCAAGCTGTATTTTGTCTTTGTTTTTGTTTTTTTTTTCTCTCCAGAGCTGACCTTTTCATCTGGCTAGCCAGGATGCATCTGTATTTGTTTTCGGATCCCTAATGCGAAACGTAAGATAAAGGAAGCAATACGAAGATAAAAATCATTAAACTCTCGGGCAAAGCTTTTTGTTTATTTTTCAAAATTTGAGGAATTACATTGTGGGAAATTATATTCATTATAATAAATTAAACTAGGCAATAACATACACTTTGGAGAAAAATTTTGGAGGACCCAATTTCCAAGTAAGTATGCAACTCTCACCTCACACCCGTATTCATACAATACAGGTAGTCCTCAACTTATGACCATTTATTTAATGATCCTTTGAAATTGTGACACTGATGAAAGATTTCTACTGGTCCTCACATTTATCTATGGACATGACTTGGTGGGCGTGACACAGGAAGGATACTGCAAAATCCCCATTCCCTCCCCACTCTGGGGCCAGCCAGAGGTGATATTTGCCGGTTCTCCAAACTACTCAAAATTTCCGCTACTGGTTCTCCAGAACCTGCTGAATAGCACCCCTGGGATTACCTATAAACACTTAAAGCAATGCCACCGCTCCCTTTTGGTCCATTGAGATTGTTGTCAGCCATTCAGTCATGTCCAACCCTTGGCCACTCTATGGATCACCATTCTCCATGCCCCTCGGTCTCCCAGCGGCTGCTTCAGATTTGCCATGGTCATCCTGATGTCACCCTTTATAGCGTCCAGCCTTCGGGCACTAAGGCAGCCCCTTCTGGTCCATTACTTACCTCTGGAATGAGCTACCCCCAGGGATACGACTAATCCCGGACCTCCGGACCTTCCGCCGGGCCCTGAAGACTTTTTTATTTCAGCAAGCCGGGCTGGGTTAAAAATCTTTTAATTGGGTGAATTTTATGGGTAAGGGGTTTTAAATTGGAGAAGCCAAAGATAATTTAATTTTGTTTTAATGCATTTTAATATTTGCATTGTGTGTTTTTAATTCTGGCTGTTCACCGCCCCGAGTCCTTCGGGAGAGGGGATGGTATAAACATTTAATTAATTAATTAATTAATTAATTAATTAATTAATAAATAAATAAATAAATAAATAAATAAATAACTTGTTGATTATTCGGCCTTGACAACTGGAATTGCATCGTAGTATCCATCATTTGTCCATCATGGCTTATAAACTAAGCAAGTTGGAACAGAAAGTCGAATATACCCAAATGAAGAATTAAAGCAGGAATATAACTTCAAGATCATAAAAACAGGAGGGGCTGCCAAAAGTGCAAAAAAAAAAAAAAAAAAAGCCCCCCAAAGTGGAAAAATCCGGACGGCGGCAGCAAAGCAGGCATCCCACCTCCCTTCGCTCTGCCTCTTCTACCTGGCATGCCCCCACCACCCTGGACTCCAACTCCCAGACTCCATAGCGCGCCTCGCTGCGAATCCTGGGAGTTGAAGTCCAACTCCCTCCTCAAGCCTCCTCGCTCAGCCACTCAGTAGCTTCCCGCCTCCTCCTCCTCCTCCTCCTCCCCTAGTCGGCGCGGACCTCCTCTTCCCGACCAATCCTCGAGCGGCTAACAAATATGCAAATACGACACCCTTACCCGTCCTCACAAGAAAGCCGGGCAGAAAGCCTCGAGACGGGTCCCCGCCCCTTTCGCCTGCCGAAGGGAAAAAAAAAAGCATGTGTGCCTTGCGCGGATTGGTCGGCGCGGCCGTTGAAGCCTCCTCCTCCTCCTCTCCTCCCCCCCTCCCCACCCGAGCGGCCCGCGTGCTGGGGAGCTGGCCGCGCAGGCGCAGTCCGAGGGGGGCGGCAGGGAAAAGGAGGGGAGGGGAGGGGAAGGAGGCCCTGCTGGCAGCCGCCAGAGCAGGCCGCGGCAGGACGGGTGGGCGGGGCCGGGCCGGGGCCACGCCGCGCCCACCCCGGAGGCTCCGCCCCCTTCCCCTCAGCCGCCGCCACCACCGCCACCGCCGCGCCACCTCCTGCCTCGGGCAGGGCCTCCGCCAGCCGCCGCGCTGCCCTCGCCCGCCGGTAAGCCAGGGGAGAGCCGGGTGGGCGGGAGAGCGAGGGAAGGGAGGTCAAAAACGGCCGGCCGGGCTTCCCTCAGGCGAAAGGGGAGTGGCCGCCGCTGCCGTCGCGCGCTTCTCCCTCACGAGCTGTCAAGGCGCCCTGAGGCGGGGGGGAGGGGGTCTTTCCCCCCTCCCCCCCTCCCCCCATCCTCTCTTCGCCCTCAGGAGGACGAGCAGCACCAGCCGCCGCCGCCGCCGGGGTCACGCCTCCGCCGCCCCTCCTCAGCCGGGATGCCCTGCCCGGGCTTCCCCTTTCGGGGGGGAAAAAAAGAGGGCAGGTGGGTGGGCCTCCGTTACCTCAGGGAAGCCTTCCTCTTCTTCTTCTTCTTCTTCCTCCTCCTCCTCTCCCGTCTGAGGGAGGTGGTCGCCCTCCGCCGCTGCCCTCCCCTCCCCCACACCGCGCCCACGTGGGAGAGCGGCAGGGCGGCCGCCCGCGCGACTGACACGCGCGCACGCGCACGCGCGCTTCCCTGGCTAGGGTGTGTGTGTGGGGGGGGGGGGGCTGCTCCTCTCTCTTTCTCTCTCTCTCTCTCTTTCTAACCCCCCCCCACCTTTCCCACCTTCCCCCTCCCCCCCTCCCCGAGGTCTTGGAAGAGGCTCTGACTTCTTGTCCAGGAGGCCGACACAAGCGATGCCAGCCGGCAGAAAGGGGGAAGGGGGCGGAAAGAAGGGTGGGTGGGTAGGTGGGTGGGTGGGTAGAAGGATAGGGTTGTTGCTGGCTTTTTCTTTTTTTTTTTTCTTCCCCCCCCCCCCCCCCCCCGAGTTTGGGTCTCCTTTTCTATTCCAACCCCCACCATCACGTTCCCCAACTTTCTCAGATCTGGGGGTTTCCCTAAAAGGAAGGGTGTTCCGGGCTGGTCCTTGGCTAGGTTGCTGGCCATCAAGGGGGAGAGGGGGAAGGGGGGCTTGGGGAGGGGAATGCCACCAAACAGGGTCAGAGGAGTTCCATGTTGGGCGTTGGGGTGGGTGGGTGGGGATGATGGAAGTTGGCTTCCTTGTCTCTCTCAACCCACGATTAGTTGTTCTTGCTCCCCGAAGGTGCGTTTTTTCTCTCTCTCTCTCTGTCTGCAGCCCCATAGCTGGAGAGTTGGAAGGGTTTTTCCTCCAAAACGTGGGCGGGAGCCCTAGCTGTAACTAACCCACGGCTGCAAAAAAAAAAAAAAAATTAAAATTAAAAATAGGTGCGTTTGGGGCTCCTGGGCGTAGGGCCGGAGGCGAAAAGCAAATGGTTCCAAGGGAAAGAAGCATGTTGGGGTCCCGTGGGAAGAATCTGTACGAGGCAGGTATGCTGCACAGTGGCTTCGTGCCCTACTTGTTGCTGCTTGGTGATCGTGACTTCTTCACCGTAGATCCAGGGTCATGTGCCCAGAAGAGGACTTGATCCAGCAGATGCTTGATTTTGGAATGAGCATCACTTCTGTATTCCTCATATCATGACTTGTAGCCATGCAGCCAAATACTGTAGAGTCTTGAAATGATGTTTGGGAGTTGGGGGGGGTGTCACTTCAGCCAAATGCAGAATATCGCATCCTGCTCTACGATGAAGATTTGTGCTGGTCTAAGGAAAGAGAGAAGTTACAGTCAAAGGCATGGTTGTGCCAAGCAGGCATGTAGAGCTTCATTTAAAGCAGTGCCACTTCTGAAGAGGCACTGTAAGGTCCACCAGTTCTTTTCCACCCAGGCCAATAGGATCAGGAGAAACGGCTGATTCCCCCCAATATGTGCTCAATATTTTAAGGTGGAAGTGGAGAAGGTCTCTACATGAAATAGCAGAGATAGTGGCACTGCAATGGATGGAGTTACCCTGATGGCTGAAAGGAGAAAAGATTCTGTTGCTCGCTAAGAAGTTTGTGAAAAGTCTTAGTGCTGGGTTGAATGCCAAATAAGAGTCAAAATGATCACAAACCATATTTGAACTAAACTCAGATCAAATCGGAAGTAATTCCTCAGCAGAATGGAAGGCAGCAGATGTGTGTGGTCTGCAGTCTTTGAAACTCAGAATATGATCTTGGGGGGGGACTTTGTTCTGTAAATGGTAGAATATTTGACGCTATAATAGTTTGCTCAAGTTTATTATTTATTTTTAAATCAAATTGTCCTACTGCATTTTTCTTCTTCCTCTGTTGCACTGACATCCTGCCTTTCCTCAGATGGGTCGTGGTGTCTTATATGTAGATCTTCCTTAATTTTATCCCTGCAGAAGCAACCCTATGAGGGATGTTGGATGAGAGATTATGACTGGCCCCAAATCACCAATGAATCAAGGAGGACTTGATCCTGGGGTTCCCCAGTCTAAGTTCAGCACCTTTATCATTATAGTAGGATAGCTTTTTTCTTTATTGGGACTTGTTCCCCATTTCTCTATCGTTTTTTAGGACAGATAGAAAAAGCCAGCAGTTAATGGAATCCAGATGTGAGTGCAACAAATTGATTCAGTGAATTATCTAAACAGAGGACAAAGGCAAATGTTGAGGGGGAAAAAAGAGTCATAGCATACATAAGGCTTGCAAGTTGGTGCTGTATCTTGCTTTTCAGAAATCAAGGGAAAATTAAGGTTTTTTTCATAATAAGTGTTTAATATAGTTAAGCAAAAATAAGAGACTGAGGAGGTTTATTTATTGTCCAGTTTGTTAGAGAAATATCGAAGAAATGAACAGTTGAATATAGTTTCATAAAGGTTGGGTGGTACACAGAAAAAAATGAGAGGCTATGCTTCAGCTTGCAGAAGATGTATCAAAGTGAACCAGTTGGAATAATGTAGGACTTCATGCTGTCATCCCTCAATGTGTAATTTTTTTAACATAGTGGTAATGATAACGGTGGCTGATAAATGTATTAAAAAATATAAAATCTGAAAGTTGTTCAAGAACATTATATGGAAATAGGTTTCATATGATTCATATTTTCAATGTATATTCACTGAAAGTGACAATGTACTTCATGTATATCGCCATTTTACAGTTGTTTGTGTATCACTGTGCACTGTTCAGGTCTTAAGTAAATTAATCTACAGTTGTTTTGAAGTATTGCTTTTACAGAACTCTGATAATTTTATATGTTTTCTAAGACGTCTGCTCATTTTGTGGCCTTAATATTTTGTCTGATGCAACCTTTTATGCTTCATAATTTTAGCTTATATGGAAGAGTTGGAGACTTTGGCTACATATCCGCTTACTTTAAGTGGGAGATGATTCCTTTAAATATGATTATTTCAAGTACGAACAATAATCTCTTCTAATTACTGTACCTTTTAAAGCTATCTAGTGATGGCTGTGGCCACACCATCAGTAGACCAGAGACTGCAGAGCCAAAGGAATGGCTGTAAACCAAAGGTTGCTCTGGAAGGCTGCAGCACTATTACACTACAGGAAGAGAAAACCTATCTAGTCTTGTGCATCACTAAATAAGGGGGGGAGAGTGGGGAGGCTGCTGGTTTATGTGTGTACATATCAGTTTCATATTAAATTACTTCTTCCTTGCAAATTGTCATATACAGTTAAAAGGCTGGTCCTTTTCTAAATCACAGTGTTCTGTAAGTTGTAAAAGTTAAAAGGTCTCAGGGAAATAGAGCAGAAGTGATTTTTTTTTCATACTTTATTTGCATAAGTTTCTGTAAAGAAAACTTCTCAAAGAATTGCTTTATTTCTGTCTCTGGTTGCTTCTTGACTGGTTAGAGTCAATCACTCAAATTAGCAGTCAGATAAAATGTCTGTTACATTTCAACAGATTATTCAGCCTATCAAGGCCTGCTAACTTTGTAAGTAAAATACATAGTTTAACATCTCTTCTGGTTTTTCATTTTATCAACACATAGTAATCCAGTGTAGGCAGAACCACTGTTTTAAAGTCAAAAGTTGCATGGATTTGGTTTAGTTCCTATTAATATAGGACTCTGGCTATTTCATTAATAGATGCAAATTAGTTTGCAGTAGGTAAAAAAGGTCAAAGCCCTCTTAAAATTCATTACCGCTTGCCATCATAGCCTTAGTGAATTCTCATTTTGATTGATCACTGTGTTGTGACGTAGTTAGCATATTTACCATGTCATTAAATAATATAATACAAACATTCAAGCTCAAAATTTATCCATTTTGAGTTTGAAGTAATCTGTTCCAAGTTCAAAAAGTTTGAAACAGCTGTTCCATTCTTGCCAAGTGTTCCTACTTTGTCCTGTCCCTACTGGACATGTTTTAAACTTGAAATGGTTGCGTTTCCATTTCAAAACTCTTGTTTTATAATTCTTTTGGAATGATTGAAACACTTCCAATTAGATCAGGACAACCTGTTTTGAAGTTCAGATATGTTGCATGTCCTTACTAAGTTTGCCTATTAGACTAACTTATTTTCTGCACTTCCAGCATCTGGGTATATTATAAAATATAATACTTGTACTGTAAGCAGTGTGACTGCCCTATTGAGTTTGTGATGTTTTATAACAAGTAATATGTATCTTCTTATCAATATTTCTTCATCATGGTTGCTTTCACTGTAATCTAACCACATTCTTCTAAGCATTGCTGATTCTTCTCTTACTTTCAGTATGAATGTAATATACTAGATACTACATTCTATTTCATTTCAGAAATATTTCCTTACCTAAACAATATTTCCTTACCTAAACAAACAGAACAGAATTACCTGGACAGGCAAAAAGACAGTGGGAGTAACCCACTGCCAGCTTCACCATTAATTTTCTAATGGGAAACTGGCAGAGAGAGTTTGAAATGATAATCTCCTGACCATGGATGAGCACACAGTGGCACTAAATAGGTCCCAACTTTGTCAAAATTTAATCCCATGGGAATAATGGAGCCTGGATTCTGGGCGCATTCTTTCAGCTGGCCCATTTGAGGCAGGTTGATTGAAAAATTGTTGACCAATAAATGGCCTGTTTTGCCCACATGAAGTTGCAAAACAGACAAACAGGAGAATTTTTGAGTAGTATATACCGGTAGATCTTGGTAACAATTTGTATTCTTATCCTCTATGAGTTAGTCCTAATTTCTCTTCAGTCCTGTCTAATAGATTGTCATTTTTATATCTTGAATGAATAATTTTTATCTTGTAAGCATGTTGAATGACGACTTAGTTGTTGTTTTCTGTCTCAAATCTCCCATTATAATGTGTTCCATAATAGAGTCTATAGTGTCTACTGTAGTGAAAAATGTTATGATTTTAACTTCTTTTGAGTTTAATAGTAAATGATATATCTATGATATGCTTTTCGCATGCCTTGTAATGTCTTACAGGTGTGACTTTATTTACTACAGCACTACTACCGGTAGTAGAAACTTTATTGATTTAGTCATTTGACCATATCAAGAGTATAAAACTATTGCAAGCTAATGCAAACCCAACAATAGAACATTTACTTACAGTATTCACATACTGCAGATTCCATA